TAGTCTATCCATTCATCTATCTATCTCTCATCCACCCACCCACCTACCCACCCACTCTTTTTCTTTCTCTCTCTCTCTCTCTCTCAGCCTAGGATCCCCTGCTCCTCCCTCTTCTCTTCTCTCCTCCTCCTTCCTGGGGGAAGATGATACCAAGGCTCACCTGGCCTGGGGCTTCTTCTTGACCAGGCCTTGGCGCCGGTGCCCCTGCTGCGAGTGGGGGCTGAGGTGGTAGGTCAGCTGCCGACAGAGCTTCTCCAGCGCACCCAGGGCCTCCCCCTCCTAAAGACAGGGAAGAAGGTTAAAGAGAAAAAGAAAGATAGGTAGGTATGTAGGTTGATAGACAGATAGATAGAGGGCAGGCACAGCACCAAGGGGGTTTTGATGGCCTGCACAGAGGGTCTGCTAGTTGGCAGCTTGGGAAACCTGACCCCCAGTGACATCCCCCCCCCCCCAAAATCTAACACTGGCTTTCTATTTCTGCCCCCCAGGTTTTATTTAGAGAAGGGCTCTTTAAACTGCCCCTCCCTCGCAGCCCCCTTCCAACCAAGACCTTTTGGAATAAGCCCAAGCACAATGGGTAGGAAGATCAAACACAGACTGCTATCTCCTAAAGAATCAAAAAGGACCTCAAGGATGACCTCTGTCTCTCCATCTTCTATCCATGCATTCATCTATCCACCCAGATGATGGATACAGATATTGAAATAGGAGATGGACAGATGAGTGGGTGGATAGATAGATTATAGGTAGGTAGATGATAATCTGTCTATCCACTCACTCATCTATCCATCTCATATTTCAATCTCTGTATCCATTATCTATCCATCCACTATCTCTATCTATCTATCTATCTATCTATCTATCTATCTATCTATCTACCTACCTATCCACCCACCCATTAACCCACTCATCTATCCATCTACTATTTCTATCTATGTATCTATCATCTATCCACCCACTATATTTCTATCTACCTATCTATCAATTCATCTCATATCTATCTATCGATCCACTATGTCTCTCTCTCAATCTACCTATTTCTATCTAGCTATCTTCCCCTCTATCTATCTATCTATCTATCTATCTATCTATCTATCCATCCATCCATCCATCCATCCACCCATATTCTCTTTCTCTATCTATCTATCTATCTATCTATCTATCTATCTATCTATCTATCTATCTATCCCTTCTCTCACTCTATCTATCTATCTATCTATCTATCTATCTATCTATCTATCTATCTATCTATCTATCTATGTATCTATTCACCATTTCTATCTAGCTATCTTCCCATCTATCTATCTACCCATTTACCTATCCATCCACAATATCAATTGATCCATCCATCCTTTCTCTCCTTAACATCTATCCATTCTCTAGCTCTATCTATTATCTATCCATTCACTATTTTATCTATCTTCCTATCTATCTGTCTGTCTATCCATCTACCCACAATACCTATCTATCTGTCTGTCTGTCTGTCCATCCATCCATCCTCTCTTTCTCTCCCTAACATCTATTTTTTCTCTCTCTCTATCTTTATCTATTCATTCACTATTTCTATCTATCTATCTTCCTATCTATCTACCCATCTACCTATCCATCCACAATATCTATCTATCTATCTATCTATCTATCTATCTATCTATCTACCTATCCATCCACTCAGAGGCGGCCCTAGGTAATTTTCAACGGTAACCAAACAGTATTTTGCCCCCCGCCCCCCCAAACCAATCACTAATATATATTTTCTATTCGTCGTGGGAGTTCTGTGTGCCATATTTGGTTCAATTCCATCTTTGGTGGAGTTCAGAATGCTCATTCATGTTAGGTGAACTATACATCCCAGTAACTACAACTAGCATATGACAAGGTCTATTTTCCCCCAAGAGCGCCTCAAGAGCGCCCCTGGGCAAAATCAACTATACTGCAAATGCTTACTTTGCATAATGGGTTGAGCCGGCCCTGCATCCACTCTATCTATCCATCCATCCATCCATCCATTCTCTCTTTCTCTCCATAACATCTATCCATTCTCTCTCTCTCATCACTATTTCTATCTAGCTATCTTCCTAGCTATCTTCCTAGCTATCTTCCTAGCTATCTTCCTAGCTATCTTCCTAGCTATCTTTCTATCTATCTATCTATCTATCTATCTATCTATCTATCTATCTATCTATCTATCTACCCATCTACTCATCCATCCACTCTATCTATCTATCTATTCATCCATCCATCCATCCATCCTCTCTTTCTCTCCCGAACATCTATCCATTCTCTATCTCTATCTATCTATCTATCTATCTATCTATCTATCTATCTGGAGGTCCCTTGGGGGTCTCTTCCAGAATCCTCAGATTTGCAAGCTGTCCCCCCCTTTTTATTAATTGCGGAAGGAGCGGGAGCCTCTTCTGCAGACTCTGCTGGGTGTTGCTGCTCCCCTGTTCCTTCCCATCCACGGGTGGCACTGGAGAAGAGGCTGACCCCTTGGTGGGAGCAGCAGAGTGACATGAATGTTTCATGCCCAGGAAAGGTCAAGGCCCAAAGGAAAGGGGGGGGGGGTTGGTTGTCATGGCGATGAGGAAGGAAGGGGAGGCCCAGGCTTGCACACTCACCGGCTTGGGGCAGTGGATGCAGCGGGCCAGGCTGATGAGCAGGTCGTGGGTGATGGGGTCCACCAGGTTGCGGAAGCTGGCATAGCGGTAGAGGACGTCGTCCAGTGAGGTGGACTCCATGCCCAGGTCCTGATGGGAGAAGAAGCAGAGCAGCTTGAGCAGCCCCAGGGCAAAACCAGCCAAACACACCTGATCATTTATGAATATTTTATATTATTTTTGTGAATATTCACAAAAAATATTTTGAAAAGTATTCACAAAAAGATTCCTAAAATAATTTAAAATATTCACAACAATATAAAATATATCATGAAAAATACCGAGGAAAAATAATCAAAATATATTCACAAAACTAAAAATATTCACAAAATAATCATAAAAATGTTCACGAAAATAATCATAAAATATTCACAAAAATAATCATATAAAATATACACAAAAATTACCAAAAGTATTCATAAAAATATTAAAGTACCGTATATACTCGAGTATAAGCTGACCCAAATATAAGTCGAGACACCTAATTTTCCCACAAAAAGCTGGGAAAACGTACTGACTCGAGTATAAGCCGAGGGTGGGAACTGTAGCAGCTACTGGTCAATTTCAAAATAAAAATAGATACCAATAACATTACATTAATTGAGGCATCAGAAGGTTTAATGTTTTTGAACTGTAATTTAAGATAAGACTGCTCAACTCCGACAAAACCATTATTCTAACCTTCTTCAATGTAAATGTGCTTACGTGACCTTCCAATAATAGTAAAGGGAGTAAAATAATGAATGTAATAATAATAGAGAAAAATAATTGAAATGTAGTTGTAACAATCATAATAAAGTAAAATAATCAATATAATAAAAGTAATAATAATAATAACAGAGTAATGTAAATATAGTTAGAATAATAATAATAATAGAGTAAAATAGTAGTTGGCTCTCAACCAGTCCATCATTGATGACAGGCATTGGTTTAGGACCAGAATGGCATCCTTGGCTTTCTGTGGAAAGTTGTGATAGAGTTGGGTGTCATCTGCATACGTATGTCACCGCACTCCGGATGATCTCTCCCAGCAGTTTCATATAGATGTTAAACAACATAGGGGACAGAATTGAACCCTGATGGACCCTGCAAGACAAAGGTCATGGGGTCGAGCAGGAGTGCACCAGCACCACTTTTGGAAGCACTTTATTCTATCCCCTAGTAACCCCATTGTTTTTCGTCCCATCTGATCCTTCTTCCAGACACATTACATTGCTTTCTCACCCAGCGTTTTAAAACTTTTAATCTTTGCAACTGGCCCTGCCCACTGTGTTCAATTGCTGTGATTCAATTATTGTGATTTTATATTGCCTTGTGTGTTTATTTGTATTGTTTTTTGTATTATTTTGTATTTTTATTTTCATTATATTTTATTGTTGCATTTTTATGTTGTATATTTGCTTTGCTGTATTGTTGGGTTGGGCTTGGCCTCATGTAAGCCGCCCTGAGTCCCCTTCAGGAGATGGTGGTGGGTACAAATCAATTATTATTATTATTATTATTAATATCAAAAGCCACTGATGTGTAGAAGAGAAGAAAGAAAAGGATGAGAAGGAGGAATAGAAGGAGGAGAAAGAAAACGAGAAGAAAGAGGAGTGGGAAGAGAAGGAAAAGGGAGAAGAGGAAGAGAGGAAGGAAGAGTGAAAAGAGAAAGAGAGAGAAGAAGGAAGAGGAGGAAGAGAAGAAAAAGGAAGAAGGAAGAGCAGGAGGAAGAGGGGGAGAAGAAGGAGGAGGAAGAGAAGGAGCAGGAAGAGAGAGAAGAGAAAGAGAGGAAGAGGAGGAAGAGAAGAAGGAAGGAAGGAAAAGAAAGAGCAGGAGGAAGAGAGGGAGAAAAAGGAGGAGGAAGAGAAGCAGAAAGAAGAGAGAAGAGAAAGAGAAAAGGAAGAGGAGGAAGAGAAGAAGGAACGGAGGGAGGGAGGAAAAGAAAGAGCAGGAGGAAGAGAGGGAGGAGAAGGAAGAATAAGAGAAGGAAGAGGGAGAAGAGACAGAGAGAAGGAAGAGGAGGAAGAGAAGGAAGGAGAAGAAAAGAAGATGGACAAGAAGAATAAGAAAGAAAGGGAGAAGAAAGTGCAGGAGGAAGAGAGGGAGAGGAAGGAAGAGGAAGAGAAGGAGAAGGAAGAGAAGAAAGAGCAGGAGATGGACAAAACGAAGAAAGGGAGAAGAAACAGCAGGAGAGAGGGAGAAGAAGGAAGAGAAGGAGAAGGAATGAGAAGAAAGAGAAGGAGATGGACAAGAAGAAGAAAGAAAGGGAGAAGAAAGAGCAGGAGGAAGAGAGGGAGAAGAAGGAAGAGGAAGAGAAGGAGAGGAAGAGAAGAGAAAAAGAGAGAGAGAAGAGGAGGAAGAGGAGAAGAAGGAAGGAGAAGAAAGAGGAGGAGATGGACAAGAAGAAGAAAGGGAGAAGAAACAGCAGGAGAAAAAGAGGGAGAAGAAGGAAGAGAAGAGGGAGAAGAAAGAGAAGGAGATGGACAAGAAGAAGAAAGAAAGGGAGAAGAAAGAGCAGGAGAAAGAGAGTGAGAAAAAGGAAGAGGTAGAGAAGGAGAAGGAAGAGGGAGAAGAGAAAGAGAGAGAAGAAGGAAAAGGTGGAAGAGAAGGAAGGAGAAGAAAAAGAATGAGAAGAAAGAGAAGAGAGGAGCCGGCAGCTCCACGTCAACAAAGAAGGGCGTCACATTCCTTCCAAATGCAGGGAAAAGCCCTGCTGTCTCTCTGCAGAAGCAGGACCGGGGAGAAGAGCCCTCCTCCTCCTCCTCCTCCTTGTCTGCAGACAGACATCCTTTCCCATAATAATAAAGTGTGAGACAGAGAGAAGGCAGCCGCATGGCGGAGCCGCACGTCCGTCCCGGAGAAGAGGAGGATGCATTTCCCCCGAAAACAAGGCCCCAAAAGACACATTTCTGGGCTTGTTTGCCTGTGACCATCTACGCTTATTCATCTCAGTGTCCATAAGATCATGTATTTATACTTTTTTATGAATATGATTATTCTATATTATTCCATGCTAAGTAAATGCGTCCTCCTGGGTGACAATCCGAACCGGGTTTATTTTCAAGGGAAACAGGGTAGGAATTAATAATAATAACAACAACAACAATAATAATGCACTACATAATAATAATTATTATAATAATAATCCTAGACGCTTGGGAAGTGTTCGACTTGTGATTTTGTGATACGAAATCCAGCATATAGATCTCGTTTGCTGTGACATACTGTGCTTTTGTGTTGTTAATAATAATAATAATAATAATAATAATAATAATAATAATAATACAACAGCCAGCAGAGTGATCTTGACTGCTGTGGACTCATCTTGTTGTGTCTCAAATAATAATAACAATAACAATAACAATAAAATAATAATAATAATAATAATAATATGGGAGCTAATAGGGCAAGCAGATCCCCCCCCCCCGCCCCCAATTCTCCTTCTCTACAGGTCTTTAAGCAGAGTCTGGATGACCATCTGCCGGGAGGGCTTTGATGGTGCCTTCCTTAATGACAGAAAGGGATTTGGCTGGGTATTACACACTCACACACATCAATTATATCTCATCCATGTCTCGGTGTCCCCTCTGTCATAAGGATGGCAGAATGGTGTGGGTCTAGATGTCCTTTAGGGGTCCCCTTCCAACTCTAGGCTCCTGTTTCATCTCTCTCTCAATCAATCAATCATATCTGTGACTGTCTATCTATGGGTGGCAGAATGGGGTGGGTCTAGACGTCCTTTGGGGGTCTCGTTCCACCTCTGGGATGCTATGATCCCTTTTTCTCTCTCATATCTATCTCTGTGGGGTGGGTCTAGATGTTCTTCGGGGTTCCCTTCCAACTCTAGGATACTATATTTGTGCTCTCTCTCTTCCCTTCATACACAAATATCAATAATATCTATGGTTGTCTATGCTTGGGTGGCCCTCTGTCGGGAAGGATCGAATGGTGCCTTCTTTTAAGGTAGACTCCCAACTCTTGAGTCTAATAACAATAACAACAAAAATATAGTAATTCTATCTTCCTTCTCGACGGTAGGGGTGGGTCTAGATGTCCTTTGGGGGTCCCCTCCAACTCTAGGATCCTATGCTCTATCTGTCTGTCTCTCAATCAAATCAATCATATTTATCTAAGCCTGGGTGGCATAAGGATTGTGTTCCCCTCTTGTGTCAGAATGGGAGTGGGTTGAGAATCATAGAATTGTTGAGTTGGAAGAGACCTTGTCCTGCATTCAAAGGGTCTAGATATCCTTTGGGGTTCCCTTCCAACTCTGGGATCCTATGTTCTCTGTGTGTATGTGTGTCTGTCTCTCATTCATGTCCATCACAACACTCTATGTCTGGGAGGCCCCCTGCCATGTGTCAGAGTGGGGGTGGGTCTAGATGTCCTTTTGGGGTTCCTTCCAACTCTGGGATCATATGCTTTCTCTCAATCATATCCGTCATAGCTATCTATGCCTGGGTGTCATAAGGAGAGTGCCTTGCTCTTGTGGCTGAATGGAGGTGGGTCTAGATGTCCTTTAGGGGTCCCTTCCAACTCTAGAAGTCTCTCTCTATACACACACACACACACACACACACACACACACAGTATCTCTCTGTGTGCGTATGTGTGTGTGTGTGTATGTATATATATATATAAAATACCTATCATATGCAATTTATTTATCCTTGGCTGGACGGCCATCTGTTGGGAGTGATCAACTGGTGCCCCCCCCCCCTTGTGTCAGAACAGGTATAATATTATAGTATTATAATTATTATACCTATTGTATCTCTCTCTCTCTCTCTTTGCGTATATATAATATCTATCATATGCAGCTTAGCTATCTTTGGTGGGTTGCCATCCGTTGGGGGGGGGTGAAGTGGTGCCCCCCTTGTGGCAGAATGGGGTGGGTCTAGATGTCCTTTGGGGGTCCCCTCTAACCGTAAGTCTATTATTATTATCTATTGTATATATCTCTCTCTGTATATATAATATCTGCCATATGCATCTTATCTACCTTTGGCTGGATGGCCATCTGCTGGGAGGGGTCAAGTGGTGCCCCCCTTGTGGCAGAATGGGGGTGGGTCTGGATGTCCTTGAGGGTTCCCTTCCAACTCTAGAAGTGTATTATTACATTATTGTTATTATTATTATTATTATTATTATTACATCTCTGTGTGTGAAGGGTCCCTTCCAACCCTAGAAGTCATTTATTACTATTTTTCATATATATATCTTGTATGTGTGTGTGTGTGTATACACACACATATACATACACACAATACCTATCATATGCAACTGATCTATCTTTGGTTGGAAGGCCATCTATTGGGAGGGATCAAGTGGTGTCAGAATGGGGGTGGGTGGGTCTGGATGTCTTTTAGGGTTCCCTTCCAACTCTAGAAGTATATTATTATGATATTATTATTATTTTACACATATACCTATTGTATCTCTCTCTCTGTGTGAGTATATAATACCTTCCCTATGCAACTGATCTTTGTTTGGCTGGAAGACCATCTGTTGGAAGGGATCAAGTGGTGACCCCCCTCACCTAGAAGTGTATTATATTATTATTATTTTACATATATACCTATTGAATCTCTGTGTGTATATATATAATACCTGTCCTATGCAAGTGATCTATCTTAGGCTGGAAGGCCATCTACTGGCAGGGATCAAGTGGTGACCCCCCTTACCTAGAAGTGTATTATGATATTATTATTTTACATATTTTATCTTTCTGTGTGTGTGTGTGTGTGTGTGTATATATATATATATAATATATATATATAATACCTGTCCTGTACAACTGATCTATCTTTGGTTGGAAGGCCATCTATTGGGAGAGATCAAGTGGTGACCTCCCTCACCTAGAAGTGTATTATGATATTATTATTTTACAAATTTATCTGTGTGTATATATATATTTAATACCTGTCCTGTGCAAGTGATCTATCTTTGGCTGGAAGGCCATCTATTGGGAGGGATCAAGTGGTGACTGCCCTCACCTCGAAGTGTATTATGGTATTATTATTTTACACATATACCTATTGTATCTGTGTTTGTGTGTGTGTGTGTATGTGTGTGTGTGTCTGTGTATATATATATATATAATATACTTGTCCTGTGCAAGTGATCTATCTTTGGCTGGAAGGCCATCATTGGGAGGGATCAAGTGGTGACTCCCCTCACCTAGAAGTGCATTATGATATTATTATTATTTTACATATATACCTATTGTATCTGTGTGTGTGTGTGTTTGTGTGGATAAAAATACCTGTCCTGTGCAAGTGATCTATCTTTGGCTGGAAGACCATCTGTTGGGAGGGATCAAGTGATGACCCCCCTCACCTAGAAGTATATTATATTATTATTTTACATATATACCTATTGTACCTGTGTGTGTGTATATATGTATATATATAATACCTATCCTGTACAACTGATCTATCTTTGGCTGGAAGGCCATCTATTGGGAGGGATCAAGAGGTGACTCCCCTCACCTAGAAGTGTATTATATTATTATTTTACATATATACCTATTGCATCTGTGTGTGTGTGTTTGTGTATATAAAAATACCTGTCCTATGCAACTGATCTATCTTTGGCGGGAAGGCCATCTATTGGGAGGGATCAAGTGGTGCCAGAGTGGGGGTGGGGGGGTGGGCCTGAATGTTTAGGGTTCCCTTCCAACTCTAGAAGTATATTATTATGATATTATTATTTTACATATACCTATTGTATCTCTGTGTGTGTATATATGTATTACCTATCCTGTATAACTTGTCTATCTTTGCCTTGAAGGCCATCTGTTGGGAGGGATCAAGTGGTGCCAGAGCAGGGGTAGGTGGGTCTGGATGTCCTTTAGGGTTCCCTTCCAACTCTAGAAGTCTATTATTTACATATATACCTACTGTATCTGTGTTTGTGTGTGTATATATAAATATATATAATACCTGCCCTGTGCAAGTGATCTCTCTTTGGCTGGAAGGCCATCTATTGGGAGGGATCAAGTGATGACCCCCCCCCTCACCTAAAAGTGTATTATGATATTATTTTACATATATGCCTATTGTATCTGTGTTTGTGTGTGTGTATAACCTATCCTGTACAACTGATCTATCTTTGGCTGGAAGGCCATCTATTGGGAGGGCTCAAGTGGTGCCAGAATGGGGGTGAGTCTGTTTGTGTGTGTATATATATATATATACCTGTCCTGTGCAAGTGACTAGAAGTGTATTATATTATTATTATTTTACATATATACTATTGTATCTGTGTGTGTGTGTGTATAATACCTATCCTGTACAACCGATCTATCTTTGGCTGGAAGGCTGTCTATTGGGAGGGATCAAGTGGTGCCAGAACGGGGGTGAGTCTGGATGTCCTCTAGAAGTATATTATTACTATTATTTACATATATACCTACTGTATCTGTGTTTGTGTGTGTATATATAAATATATATAATACCTGCCCTGTGCAAGTGATCTCTCTTTGGCTGGAAGACCATCTGTTGGGAGGGATCAAGTGGTGACCCCCCTCACCTAGAAGTGTATTATATTATTATTATTTTACATATGTGTGTGTGTGTGTATAATACCTATCCTGTACAACTGATCTATCTTTGGCTGGAAGGCCGTCTATTGGGAGGGATCAAGTGGTGCCAGAATGGGGGTGAGTCTGGATGTCCTCTAGAAGTATATTATTACTATTATTTTACATATATACCTACTATATCTGTGTTTGTGTGTATATATAATACCTGTCCTGTGCAAGTGATCTCTCTTTGGCTGGAAGACCATCTGTTGGGAGGGATCAAGTGGTGACCCCCCTCACCTAGAAGTGTATTATATTATTATTATTTTACATATGTGTGTGTGTGTGTATAATACCTATCCTGTACAACTGATCTATCTTTGGCTGGAAGGCCGTCTATTGGGAGGGATCAAGTGGTGCCAGAATGGGGGTGAGTCTGGATGTCCTCTAGAAGTATATTATTACTATTATTTTACATATATACCTACTGTATCTGTGTGTGTGTGTGTGTGTGTGTGTGTATATATATATATCTAATACCTGCCCTGTGCAAGTGATGTCTCTTTGGGCGGGGAGGCCACCTGTTGGGAGGGCTCAAGTGGGGTGGGGGGCGAGGAGGAGGCGCCAGGCACGCACCTGTCTGAGGCGTCGCAGGAGGAGGTTGGCCTCGCTGGGGCGGCCCTGCCGGGCGAGGCGCAGCATCTCCTGGATGAGTCCCACGCGGCGCAGGTAGGGGGCGGCCCTGCCGGGCGAGGCGCAGCATCTCCTGGATGAGTCCCACGCGGCGCAGGTAGGGGGCGCCCTCTTCCGGGGAGGGGGGGGCTGCGGGGGGAGGGTGGGGAGGCGGGGGGGGCGCCAGGCCCAGCGAGGAGAGGAGCAGCTCGCCCTTCTCCCAGGCGCTGCTCTGCGGAGACGAGGACGAGGCCGAGGACAAGAGGCGCCGCCGCCGACGCGCCGAGAGAGGGCTCCCGCCCTGCCCGGCAGGGGAAGACGAGGAGGAGGAGGAGGACGACGAAGAGGAAGGCGGCGGCGGCGGCGGGAGAAGCAGGTCCTTGCTGGGGCGGGCGCCCATGGCGGAAAGAGCGCTCCCTCACTCAACTCCCTCACTGACTGGGTCAATGACAGACAGCCCGGCGGAGGAAGAAAGGGCGCAAGTCCCGCCCACTCCTTCCTGCGGAGGAGGAGGGGGAGGTTGGGCCACCCCCTCCTCCCCCCTCCTCCTCCGCCCTGGCGCTTCCGCGCACGCGCGGGACTCTGCCCACGTGCACAGCGCCCCCGCCCGCTCTTCTGTTGTTGTTGTTGTTCTTTCCCTCCCTTGCGGAAAGGCGCCTTCCGGTTCCTGTCTCAGGGCAGTCATCAGGCAGGCCTCCCTCCCTCTCTCTCCCGGATCAGAATAATAATTACAATACAATAGAATAATAGTAATAAGATGATGATAATAATACAATGAAATAATAATAATACAAAAACAATACAATAGTCGCTGCGCCCGTACCTTGGGAAGTCTGGCTTGGCCACGGTAGTCCACGCTCTGGTTACATCCCGCTTAGACTACTGCAACGCTCTCTACGTGGGGTTGCCCTTGAAGACTGCTCAGAAGCTTCAAATGGTCCAACGCTCAGCAGCCAGGCTACTAACAGGAGCACACCACTCCTCTGTTGCGCCAGCTCCACTGGCTGCCAATCTGCTACCGGGCACAATTCAAGGTGCTGGCTTTAGCCTATAAAGCCCTAAACGGTTCTGGCCCTACTTACCTCTCCGAATGCATCTCCTCCTATGAACCGACTAGGACGTTAAGATCATCTGGGGAGGCCCTGCTCTCGGTCCCGCCCGCATCTCAGGCGCGGTTGGCGGGGACGAGAGACAGGGCCTTCTCGGTGGTGGCCCCTCGGCTGTGGAACGCCCTACCTGTGGACATCAGACAGGCCCCTTCACTGCTGGCATTTCGGAGGAAGGTCAAGACTGGGCTTTACGAACAAGCGTTTGGCTAAATAGTGCAATGAAACACAGTAAGATGGTACAACTGAACATAGGAACTGGTACAACGGATTATGATTGCGGATTCTGATTCTGATTTGTTTGTTGAGGCACACGTCTTTGATAATGATTGTTTTTTGACTTGATATGTTTTGTATAATGTGTTTTTAACTGCCTTTTGATGTTGTTGTGTTAACCCTTTACTATGTAAACCGCCTTGAGTCGCCATTTCGGCTGAGAAAGGCGGTATAGAAGTAAAGCAAATAAATAAATAATAGTTCAATATTAGTAGGTAAAGGTTGTCCCCTGACATTAAGTCCAGTCATGTCTGACTCTGGGACTGGTGCCAGCGTTGTCCGTAGACACTTCCAAGGTCATGTGGCCAGCATGACTGCATGGAGCGCCATTACCTTCCCATCGGAGCGGTACCTATTGATCTACTCACATTTGCATGTTTTCAAACTGCTAGGTTGGCAGAAGCTAGGGTTGACAGCGGAAGCTCACGCCGCTCCCCGGAATCGAACCTGCGACCTTTCGATCAACAGTAGCAGTAATACACTAATAATAATAAAAATATGATAATGATACCATGAAATAATACAAAAACAATACAATACAATAATATAAGAAAATAGTAGTAGTAAAGGTAAAGGTAGTCCCCTGACATTAAGTCCAGTCGTGTCTGACTCTGGGGTGTGGTGCTCATCTCCATTTCTAAGCCGAAGAGCCAGCGTTGTCCGTAGACACCTCCAAGGTCATGTGGCCAGCATGACTGCATGGAGCGCCATTATTATCATTATCATATTTTATTTTTATTATTATGATAGTAGTAGTAGTAGTAATAATACACTATCATAATAATAAAAATAAAATATGATAATGATACAATGAAATAATAGAAAAAACAATACAATATAATACAAAAGTAGTAATAATACAATAATATAATTATAATACAATATCATATAATACGGAGCCCCTGGTGGCGCAGTGGGTTAAAGCACTTAACTGCTGAGCTTGTTGATCGAAAGGTTGCAGGTTCGATTCCGGGGAGCAGCGTGAGCTTCCGCTGTCAGCCCTAGCTTCTGCCAACCTAGCAGTTCGAAAACATGCAAATGTGAGTAGATCAATAGGTACCGCTCTGGTGGGAAGGTAACGGCGCTCCATGCAGTCATGCTGGCCACATGACCTTGGAGGTGTCTACGGACAACGCTGGCTCTTCGGCTTAGAAATGGAGATGAGCACCACACCCCAGAGTCAGACATGACTGGACTTAATGTCAGGGGACTACCTTTACCTTTACTACTAGTAATAATACAATAATAAAATATGATGATAATGATACAATGAAATAATACTAAAAACCTTAAAAAATCCAGCATATATATCTCTTTTGCTGTAACATACTGTGTTTTTGTGCGAGTATAATAAAATATAATGATAATGATACAACGAAATAATAATACTAAAAATGATACAATATAATAATATAAAACAATAATAATAATACATGATAATATAATAGTAAAAATAACAACATGGTGATAATACAATGAAATAATAGTAAAATAATACAATATAATAATACAATAAAATAATAATACATAGCAGTTATAATACTATATAATAATAATAATAATAATAATAATAATAATTCAGTATCATAATAGTGGACATGCACCATGGGCAATGTGCTTCCCAAACACCATACTGCCCAAACCAGAGTGAAGGCTATCATATGGGGACAATATCTTTGATTTTATATTTCCTCTACCAATGACATCCTAGTGTTTTTGACTCTCCACTGGTGTGGAATTTGCATGACCCCACCCACTACCACTCCCTTAAAACCTTTCCTATTCTTTCCTATGGCACACAGCAAACAGAGGAACTGATCAGCAACTGAACATACTGGAGTAGTTTGAGGAGAATTCACCATGATTTATAGGAGTTGTAGGTCCTGGGATGTATAGTTCACCTGCAATTTCAGAACACTCTGAACTCCACCAACGATGGACCTGGAACTCACTTGGCACACAGACCAGTAAAACATGTCCAGCAAAACATACTGGAGGCCTTTGGAATGATTTAGAAGAGTTGTAGTTCACCTACATCCAGAGCACATTATGAACCCAAACAATAATGGATCTGGACCACACTTGGCACACAGACCCAATATGCTTACATTTGAATATTGGAGGGGTTTGGGAGAGTGGCCTCGATTTAGTAGCAGCAGCAGCAGCAGCAGTAGTAGTAGTAGTAGTAGTAGTAGTAATAATAATAATAATAATAATAATAATAATAATAATATACAGATAATAAAATAGTAGTTATTCTATCTCCCTTTATGGCAGAGGATGGTTGGGCTGCATGGACCTTGGTGGTGCATTACTATTATTATTATTATCAGTATTAGATGCATAAATATAATAGCAATTCTATCCTACTTGGCTGACTGGGGTTGGACTGGATGGCCTTTGAGGGTCCCTCCCAACTCAATGAGTCTAAATAAATAAATAATGGATATAATGATATAATAGTATTGTACTAGGATTCCCTGGTCCTGCCTAGCCAAGGCCACTCAACCTGATCCTCAAGCCACTTACCCCCCCCCCCCCAATGCCCTGACAGTGTTGGACTGGATGGCCTTTGAGGGTCCCTCCCAACTTGATGAGTCTAAATACATAAATAAATAAATAATGATGCATAATATAATAGCAATTCTATCTTCCTGCTTGGCCGAAGGGGGATGGACTGGATGGACTTTGAGGGTCCCTCCCAACATGATGAGTCTAAATAATAATAATAATAATAATAATAATAATAATGCATATAATGATATAATAGTATTGTACTAGGATTCCCTGGCCCTGCCTAGCCAAGGCCACTCAACCCGATCCTCAGGTCACTTCCACCCCCCCAATGGCCTGACAGGTCGTCCCACCTCTCCAAGGGCCCCATTGGTGAGCTTTCCTCCCAAACATCCATCTTCCCAAAAGAAGGACAGGCATGCCAATCATCTCCCTGAAAGGGACCGATGGTCACAGACATTTATTCTCCGCGGACAGAGACAAGGAGAGCGGGCCTAGGAGAGGAAGCCTTGGAGGGGGCGGCGCCAGCGGGACCGGAGCAGGAGGCGAGATCAATATGATCCAAACAGTTGGGGAGCCAAACCCCAGAGGGAGCCTCCTTCCGGGGCGCAGCGTCAAGCGTCCTTGCCGAGGGCCCCTCCACGTCCCGGCAGAAGGGGCCACAGTCCGGAGCCCCGCCCGAGAGTCAAGCGCAGCCCCCACACACCCCTCCCCCTGGTCCCAACGAACATCTGACAAAACGAAGCCAGAACCATTGTCAGTCCATTTTGGCCAGCAAGGAGCAGACGAGAAGGAAGGAAGGGGAGGGGGAAAGGAGAGTGGGGGAGAATGGATGGAGGGATAGGAGGAAGAATGGAAGGAAGGATTAGTAGATGGATGGATAGATAGGAGGATGGAAGGATAGTAGAAAAGAAGGAAGAATGGAAAACATTGTAGATAGATGACAGAGAGAGAGAGAGAATGAAAAGTAGATAGGAAAGAAGGGAGGGAGGGGAAGGGGAAAGGAGAGTGGGAGAATGGATAGACGCATGGATGGATAGAAAGATAGATAGATAGGAGGAAGGAAGGATAGGAAGGAAAAATGGAAGAATGTGTAAATAGATGATAGATAGATAGATAGATAGATAGATAGATAGATAGATAGATAGATAGATAGATAGGAAGAAAGGGGAGGGAGAAAGGAGAGTGGGGGACAATGGATGGAAGGAAGGTAGGAAGGTAGGAAGGATTAGTAGATGGGGTGGATGGATGGATAGACACATGGATAGACACAGACAGACAGACCGACCGACCGATCAATATGTGGGTGGATGGAAGGAAGGAAGGAAGGAAAGAATTTGTACATAGATAGATGATAGATAGATAGATAGATAGATAGATAGATAGATAGATAGATAGGTAGGTAGGTAGGTAGAGGGAATAAAGAGTGGAGTAGATAGGAAAGAAGGAAGGAAGGGTTAGAGTTAGTTAGTTAGATATCTATCTATCTGTCATCTTGGCCCAGCCCTTGGTTTTAAATGCGTCACTGTGTCATTGTTTTTTATTGTTCTAATGCTTTGCTTGATGTTTTATTTGCTTATGACTTTATTGTGTATGTGTATGTTATTGTTGTTGGCGGCCTTGGCCTTTGTAAGCCGCATCGAGTCCTTCGGGAGATTTTACGGGGTATAAATAAAGTTAATACTACTACTACTAATAATAATAATAATAGATGGATGGATGGATGGATGGGAGGAAGAAATGAAGGAAAAATGGATGGATAGATAGATAGATTTTCCCTATTTTTGTAAATGTCTTATGTTGATTGATAGTGTTATTGTTACTAATGTTGATGTATTTTATGTGTTTTTATGGCACAATTACATGCTGTTCAGTAAGCCGCCCCAAGTCCCTTTTTGGGAGGTGGTGGCGGGATATAAATAAGGTTGTTGTTGTTAGATAGATAGAGCGATAGAAGGAAGAAAGGAATGGTGGATAGACAGACAGACAGACAGACAGATAGATAGATAAGAGGAAGGAAGGGTATGTAGACAGATAGATAGAAGAAAGGAGGGAGGGAGGGTGGATAGGAGGAAGGAAGGAAGGATAGACAGAAGAATAGATACATGGATGTAAGTGAGGGAGGGAGGGAGGGAGGGAGAGGAAGGAGCGCCCTGTGTTTCGGCTTGGCCTTGCTCCGCAGCCCCTGCCTGGGAGTGCGTGGGGCCAGGGTCCGAGGGGCGGGCAGAAGGCACCTGTGTCCAGAGCGATCGGGCCCCGCGCCCCCTCCTCTTCCTCCGCCATCGTAGGCAGGCAGGCACTTGACAGGTCTTTGGTCGCAGCCCCCCTTCATGTCGCTGGGGAAAAGGGGTCCGGAACGAACGAACTCAGGTCCAGTTGGTCCGGCCAGCAAGCGATCGCAGCCTCGGTCCCTGGCCGAGGGAGGGGGGCCCATCAGGCATCGGAGAAGGCCATCTGCGGGGAGGGATGGAGAGGGGGAGAGAGCGAGGCCAGGGCGCCATTGGGCACAAGGGGAATGATTGTTCTGGCTGCCCTTCCCCGAGTCCTTTCCAAAGCCCTTCCTGCTTCCGCACTCACCTTTTCGGGGGGGCAGAAGTCGGGGCCGCTCTGCCGCAGCTTGACCGGCCGGCCCTTGATGACCGCGTAGCAGAACATGGTGATGACCATCACAAAGAGGAAGTAGCTGGTGTGCATCAGGTGCAGGTTGATCAAGGAGCGGTCGTCCTGTAACAGAGGAAGGCCAAGGAAACGTGATCCCTAGAAATCTAATCTATTATTAGATTTCTAGTTGGAAGGGACCCCCAAAGGCAATCCACTCCGACACCCTTCTGGCATAAAGGAAGATTTCTATGTGTCATTATCTATGTGTTGTTGTTGTTGAGTTGGAAGGGACCCCAAGGGACCATCTAGTTCAATGCCATTCAGCCATATGAAAAACAGATTTACTACTAGTATATCATTACTGATTATTATTATTATTATTATTATTAGTTGGAAGGCGACCCCAAAGGCCATCCAGTCCAACGCCATTCAGTCATTAAAAAAATGGACTTACGACTAGATTATTATTCTTCTTATTATTATTATTATGAGTTGGAAGGGAACCCCAAAGGCCATCCAGTCCAATGTGATTCAGTCATAAAGGAAAATAGACTTACTAGTATATCATCATAATTATTATTATTACCATTATTATTAGATTCCTAGAGTTGGAAGAGACCCCAAGGGGGCATCTAATCCAACCCCATTCTGCCATAAAGCAAGACAGACTTATTATTATATTCGTATGCAGTATCTTTATGGCCCCTTTTCGGATACTGAAACATGGTTCTCCTTTTCCAGTCTTCTCTCCTGGAGGCTTAACAGGCCCAGCTCTTTAAGGCACTGTTCCTCATCAGGAAGATTATTCATGGTCTCCAGGCCAATGACCATTTTAGGAAGGAAGGGAGGGAGGGAGGATGGAAGGAAGGAAGGAAAGATGGATGAATGGAAGGATGGATGGATGGATGGATGGATGGATAGATAGATGAGATAGATAGATAGATAGATAGATAGATAGATGGATAGGAAAGAAGAAAGAAGGACAGAAAGGAAAGAAAGATAGGAGAAAGGAAAGAAGGGAAAGAGGAGGAAGGATGGAAGAAAAGAAGGGAGGGAGGAAGGAAGGATGGATGGAAGGAAGGATAGATAGGAGAAAGTAAAGAAGGGAGGAAGGATAGATAGGAGAAAGTAAAGAAGGGAGGAAGGTTGGAAGGAAGGAAGGAAGGAAAGATGGATGAAAGGAAGGAAGGATAGATAGGAAAGGAAGAAAGGAGGGAAAGATAGGAGGAAGGAAGAAGGGAAAAAAGGGAGGAAGGATGGATGGAAGAAAAGAAGGAAGGAAAGATGGATGGAAGGAAGGAAGGAGAGATAGGAGGAAGGGGGAGGAAAGAAAGAAAGAAGGGAGGAAGGATGGATGGATGGAAGAAAGGAAGGAAAGATGGATGAATGGATATGAGGAAGGAAGAATGGAAGAAAGAATGGATGGATGGATAGATAGATGGAAGAAAGGATGGATGGATAGAAGGAAAGAATGATGGAAGACAGAAATGAAGGAAGGAAAGAATGATGGAGGAGAAAGGAAAGATGGAAGAAAGGAATGATGGAAGAAAGAAAAAAGGAAAGAATGAAGGAAAGAGGGAGGGAGGGAGGGAAAAATAGATAGATAGATAGATAGATAGATAGATAGATAGGAAAGAAGAAAGGAAGGAATGGAAGGAAGGATAGATAGATTGATGGAAGAAAGGAAAGATGGATTAATGGATAGGAAGAAGGAGGAATGGAAGAAATGATGGATGGATGAATGGACAGACAGACAGACAGATAAAAGAAAGGATAGAAAGAATGAAGGAATGATGGAAAAAAGAAAGAAAAAGAAAAGGAAGGAGGAGGGATGGATAGATAGGAAGAAAGCAGTAAGGGAGGGATGCAGTCCTTGTGCACTCACATCGGGGACGACGAGGGTGAGCTTGGGGTTGAGGGCGTGGTAGAGCTTTCCGACGGCGCCCTTGTAGCACCAGAGGGGGTTGTAGTCCTGTGCCTCCTTGGCCTCCGAGTCCCTGGCCGTGGTGAAGACCTTGTACCAGGAGGAGGCGTTCACGTAGCTCTCAGGCGCACAGTGCGCGGGCTGCCTGCACAAGGAGGGAGCCGTGCAAAAGGGTCTCAAGAACGCCCCCGTGGACAGGTGGGCGCCAACCCTGCCAGGAGGAGGAGGAGGTGGAGGAGGACTTACACGGTGACAGGGAAGACGGCCGCAGCCGCCGTGAGTGTCATGCAGACGGCAAAAACAGCCTGGTCGCAGCGGCCGTGCAGCACACAGTCGTCCGAGTTCCAGGCTGCCGGCAAAGCGAAGGTGATGTTGATCTCCTCGTGGGCTTCTCTGCCTTCCGGGGGTTGAAGAGGCGGACAGACAGGTCACAAGACATAAAGGGTTAGGGTCCAGGTCATGCGCAGAAAGGGTTCGCGTAGAAAATAATAATAGCAATAACAATGTGTTTGCAAGCTGCCTTGCATCCCTACGGGGAAAGTGATGGGGTATAAATTAAGTTATTAAATAATATAATGACATAATAATAATAGTATAATAATAATACAATAATAACATGATATAATAATAAAAACATGATATATTATAATAATATGATGACATAATAACAATACTATAATGATATATAATGATGATATAAAACATGATATAATATTATAATAATACGATGACATAATGATATAATGTGATATAATAAGAACAATAACATGATATAATAATAGTGATGATATAAAACATGATAAAATAATATAATCATATAATGACATAATAATGATACTATAATAATGATATAATGTGATAAAATAATAACAATAACATGATATAATGATATAAAACATAAAATATAATATAATAATAATACAATAATAATGATATAATAACATCATATAATGATGATGATATAAAAACATGATATATTATATGACAATAGTAAGGATTTAATAACATGATATAATAATGATATAAGAATAATATGATATAATAATAATGATATATTAATATGATATAATAAGATATAATATAATAATATAATGACATAATAGTAATGATACTATAATGAAATAAAATATATAACAAAAATAATATGATATAATGCTATAATAATACATACGATTAAATAATATGAGATAATAATATTGATACTATAATAATGATATAATAATATGATATGATGATATAAAAACATGATATATTACAATATGACATAATAGTAATGATATAATACTAACATGATATAATGATATAAGCATAATATGATATAAAATAATAATATAATGACATAACAGTAATGATACAATAATGAAATAAAATATGATATAATAACAAAAATAATGTAATACTATAATAATACATACTATTATAATAATGAGATAATATTGATACTATAATAATGATGCAATAATAATGATATAACATTAATATATTTTAATAACCTAATATAATAATATAAAAATAATAATAATATAATGATATAATAATAATATGTGTTGTTGAAGGCTTTCATGGCCAGAATCACTGGGTTGCTGTGTGTCTTCCGGGCTGTATGGCCATGTTCTAGAAGCATTCTCTCCTGACATATTGGCCACATCTATCCTCTGAGAATGCCTGCCATAGATGTGGGTGAAACCTCAGGAGAGAATCCTCCTGGAACATGATCAGACAGCCCGGAAAACTCACAGCAACCCAATAATATGATATAACAATAATATTATGACAGAATAATAATATGATACACTAACTATAATAATGAGCCTCTCACCTGAGAGCCCATTCTTATATATTATTTTTATGATATCATTATACAACAACATCAACAACAATAACAATGTCCCTCTCACCAGAGAGGCCGACCTGGTGCCCGGAGACGGAGGAGTGGAGGTGGGTGACATTTCGGGAGAAGCCCCCGAAGGGCCGCAGGGGGTCCAGGGTGAGGGTGATGCCCACCGAGGTGTTGACCGGGCCAGACTCCTCCAGGGCCTGTGGGGAAGGGGTTGAGGGGCGGGACCCACCAACACCAACACCAACACCAAGAGCACCAATGGGGCCACCCACGCCGCCCTCCAAGGCCCCGCTCTCGTTCGCTAGGTGCTTCAGGGTCTCGTTTTCCGACACGCAGAAGTCCAGGTCATTGAAGCGCAGTAAGAAGGTGTTCCAGTCCTATCAGGCAGAGAAGAAATGGAGGCCTTGGTCATAGAATCATAGGGTTGGAAGGGACCCCAAGGGACATCTAGTCCAACTCCTTGGTATGCAGGAAAAGCACAAAACACTCTGGGCAGGTGGACATCCAGCCTCTGTTTCGGCGGTGACCAGGGGAGCATTCGCACAGTTAAAGCTTGTGCGCCAGCTGCGCCCGTACCTTGGGAAGTCTGACTTGGCCACGGTAGTCCACGCTCTGGTTACATCCCGTCTAGACTACTGCAACGCTCTCTACGTGGGGTTGCCTTTGAAGACGGCTTGGAAGCTCCAGCTAGTCCAACGCTCGGCAGCCATGATACTAACAGGAGCGGAGCGCAGGGAGCATACAACTCCTCTGCTGCACCAGCTCCACTGGCTGCCGATTTGCTACCGGGCTCAATTCAAAGTGCTGGCGTTGGCCTATAAAGCCCTAAACGGTTCTGGCCCAAGCTACCTATCCGAACGTATCTCTGCCTATGAACCCACCAGGACTCTAAGATCTTCTGGGGAGGCCCTGCTCTCGATCCCGCCTGCATCACAAGCACGGCTGGCGGGGACGAGGGACAGGGCCTTCTCTGTGGTGGCCCCTCGGCTGTGGAACGCCCTTCCCATGGACATTAGATCAGCTCCTACGTTAATGGTGTTTCGAAGAAAACTAAAAACCTGGCTGTTTGAACAGGCATTCGGATAAACAGTGCAATGAATACGATGAATATAGGAACGGAATTATAGACGACGAATTGGATCACGATTCTAGTTACGAGACGTTAATGTGTTGTTATTGATGTGTCATTACTTTGTATATTATGCTCTTAATGGTTTTTAAATTGTATATTGTTATGATTGTCTTTTTGCTCTTGTTGTGAACCGCGTTGAGTCGCCTACGGGCTGAGAAACTGCGGTATACAAGCAAAGTAAATAAATAAATAATAACAGTATTGTTATATCCATCATTATAATTATTTTATCTATTATTACATTTATTATTTTATTTATTTATTTACAACATTTATATGCTGACCTTCTCATCCTGAATGGGACTCAGAGCGGCTTACAAGTTATATGTACATACAATATATTATATTATTACCATAGCACAATATTAGTATAATCTATTGCTATATTGTACTATACCACTATACTGCAATATTATTAGTATTATCATATGTAATATCAAATATATAATTATATTATATTGTATATTATTATTATTTTGTATTACAATATTATGATCAATATTATATATACATACAATATATATGCTATATATATTGTTAGCATAGTACAATATCAGTGTTATATAACGATATTGTACTATACCATTATACTGTAATATTATCAGAAATTTTACATGTAATATAAACTATATAATTATATTATTATTATATTGTATTAATAAATTATATTGTATAACAATATTATGTCCATCCATCTTTCCTCCCTATCTATCTATCTATCTATCGCTCTGAGTCGCCTGAGGGCTGAGAGAGAGCAGTATACAAATAAAGTAAATAATAATAATAATAATATCTATCCATCCATCCATCCATCATCTCTCTTTCTAGTCCAGCCATCTATACTTCATCTATCTATCTATCTATCTATCTATCTATCTATCTATCTATCTATCTATTTTCTTCCTTCCTTCCTTCTATCATTCTTTCTTTCCTTCCTTCCTAAAACGGCCAACAGCTTGGAGACCACCTTCCTCCCTTTCTTTCCCTTCTTCCTTCCTCCTATCTTTCCTTCCTTTTTTCCTTCCATTCTTCTTTCCTATCTATCTATCTATCTATCTATCTATCTATCTATCTATCTATGTCTGGATGGTCCTTGGGGTCCTAACTCTAGGATTCTTCCCATCCATCCATCCATCCATCCATCCCTCCTTCATTTTTTCTTCCTTCCTTCCAGCATTCTTTCCTTCCTTCATTTCTTTCTTCCATCATTCTTTCATTCTAACCATACATCCTTTCTTCCATCTATCTATCTATCCATCCACGCTTTCTTCCATTCTTCTTTCCTCATATCCATTCATCCATCTTTCCTCTCTTCCTTTCTTCCAACCTTCCTCCCTTCTTTCCTTTCTCCTATCTATCTATCTATCTATCTATCTATCTATCTTTCTTTCTTTCTTTCTTTCTTTCTCTCCTTCCTTCCTTCCTTCCTTCCTTCCTTCCTTCCTTCCATCCATCCATCCATCCATCCATCCATCCATCCATCCATTCATCTTCCCTTCTTTCCTCCCCCCTTCCTCCTATCTATCCTTACTTCCTTCCATCATGCAAGGTTAATCCCCTGAAACTCCATCAGTATTTAAAAGATTGTGATGTTGGGTAAGACTCTAGCTGCATCATGCATGAGGTTCAGTATGCTCTCTGGCTGCAGGGTAAACTACAACTCCCACCATGATGAGTCAGTCCCCTCAAACCCTTCCAGTAGGTTGAGTTAGTCAGGGGGGTTCTGTGTGCCAAGTTTTGCCCAGGTACACCATCGGTGGATATCACAATTTCCCTGGTTGTGGGTGAACTATAACTCCCAGAAAGGAATTGTTCCTCAACCTGGGATCAGGACCCCTGGGAGGGGAGTCGTGAGGGGTTGTCAGAGGGGTCACCAAAGACAGTCAGAAAACAAAGTATTTTCTGTTGGTCATGATGGTTCTATGTGGTAAATTTGGCCCAATTCTATCATTGGTGTGATTCAGAATGCTCTTTGGTTGTAGGTGAACTATAAATCCCAGCAACTACAACTCCCAATTGTCAATGTCTATTTTCCCCAAACTCCACCAGTGTTCACATTTGGGCATATTGAGTATCCGTGCCAAATTCAGTCCAGATCCATCATGGTTGGCGCACAGGTGAACTACAACTCCCAAACTCAAGGTCAATGCCCTCCAAACCCTTCCAGTATTTTTCTGTTGGTCGTGGGAGTTCTGTGTGCCAAGTTTGGATCAATTCCATCCTTGGTGGAGGTCAGAATACTCTTTGGTTGTAGGTGAACTATAAATCCCAGCAACTACAACTCCCAAATGACAAAATCAAGCCCCCCACAACCCCACCAGTATTCAAATGTTGGGTTTTTGGGCCAAATTTGGTCCAGTGAATAGACATACCTCGGTCCTTTCGGGGGCCTTGATCTCCTTGATCTTGAAGAAGTAGCCCAGGGTGAGGAAGGCGATGGCTACGGCGCTCAGGCTGAGCATGAAGACCACCAGCGGCGGGCGGCCGCTCACCAGAAGCCGCAGGTTCTCCAGCGGGAGGAGGACCAGGCCCAGCATCGCGGCGGCCGGCTGGCGGGGGAAGCCCACCTGCAGCAAAGATGGAAACCTGAGAGTCAAAAAGAAGGAGATCCCAAAGGTCATCCAGCCCAGCCCCCTTCTGCTACAGGCACTTCTGTAATAATTATTACAGAGGCTTGATGCTCATCTGTCAGGAAGGATCAGATAAATTATTATTATTATTTATTACAATTATTATATAATATTATAATTACTATTGCAAGGGCTGAATGGCCATCTGTCGGGAGGGATCAAATAGTTATTATTATTAATACTAATATTGTTATTATTGCAGAGGCTGGATAGCCATCTGTCGGGAGGGATCAGAGAAATAGTTGTTATTATATAGTATTATAATTATTATATAACATTATAATTACTATTGCAGGGGCTGAATAGCCATCTGTTGGGAGGGATCGGATAAATAGTTGTTATTATATAGTATTATAATTATTATTAGGGATCTGATAGTTATCTTTTTATTATTATTATTACTATTGCAAAGGCTGGATGGCCATCTGTTGTGATAGGATTAATATTATTATTATCTGTTGACTGGGCTTGGATGAATAATAACAATAATAATAATAATAATAATAGTTTAGATGGCCATCAGCTAGGGAGGATCAGATGAATATTTTTTATTATTTTATTATTTCAGGGGCTAGATGGTTATTTGTCAGGATGGATCAGGTGAATAATAATAATAATAATAATAATAATAATAATAATAATAATAATATATTATTATTATTATTATTATTATTATTATTTAGGGTTATTATTATTGCAGAGAATGGATAGTCATCTATTGGGAGGGATTGGATGAATTATTATTATTATTATTATTATTATTATTACTATTACAGAGACTGGGTGGCTGTCTATTGGGAGGATCAGATGAATTCTAATTCTATTATTATTATATATCATTATTGTTGCAGAGCCTGTATGGCTTTCTGTCCGAATGGATCAGATGAATTATTATTATTATTATTATTATTATTATTATTATTATTACAGAGTCTGGATAGCCATCTGTCAGGTGGATCTGGTTATTATTATTATTGCAGAGGCTGGGAGGGAGGAATCAGGTGAATGATAATAATTATTTTATATTATTCAATTATTATTATTATTATTATTATTATTATTATTATTACTATTATTATTATTACAGAGTCTGGATAGCCATCTGTCAGGGGGATCTGGTTATTATTATTATTATTATTATTATTATTGCAAAGGCTGGATGGCCATCTGTTGGGAGAAGTCAGATGAATAATAATTATTATTCAGAGGTGGAATGGCCATGTGTTGGGAGGGATCCGGTGAATTATTATAGTTATTATTAGTTATTATTATTATGATATATTATTATAATTATTATTGCAGAGTCTCGATGGCCATCTGTCAGGAGGGATCGGATACGTTATTATTATTATTATTATTATTATTATTATTATTATTATATAATATTATAATTACTATTACAGGTCCTTGCAGGGGCTGGATGGCCATCTGTCAGGAGGGATCAGATAAATTATTATTATTATTATTATTATTATTATTATTATATGTTAAAATTACTATTGCAGTGGCTGGATGGCCATCTGTCAGGAGGGATCAGATAAATTATTATTATTATTATTATTATTATTATTATTATTATTATTATATGTTATAATTACTATTGCAGTGGCTGGATGGCCATCTGTCAGGAGGGATCAGATAAATTATTATTATTATATAATATTATAATTACTATTGCAGTGGCTGGATGGTCATCTGTCGGGAGGGATCAGATAACTAAAAATAATAACAATAATAATAATAATAATATAATATTATAATTACTATTGCAGGGGCTGGAAGGCCATCTGTCGGGTGGGATCAGATCAATAATAATAGATTATAATTATTATATAATAATATAATTACTATTGCAGAGGCTGGATGGCCATCTGTCAGGAGGGATCAGATAAATTATTATTATTATTATTATTATTATTATTATTAATATTATAATTACTATTGCAGGGGCTGGAAGGCCATCTGTCGGGAGGGATCGGGTGGTGCCTTCAAGGAGGGACGGGGCTGGGCTGGATGACCTCGGGGGCCCCCTTCCAATGCTGGAGCCTCCATCCCGGAAGTGGGGTGCCAATAACAGTAAGCAGCGAGGCCTTGACTCACCTTCCTTCCTTCCTCCTCCGCTTCCTCTTCCTTTCTGGCGCTGAGCGAAAGGGAAAGCGGGAGGAGCCTCCGAAGCCCCGCCCACGACGGCGGCGCCGCCGGGACAAACTTCCTGTTGTAGAAGCCGCGCGCCTCACTCTTCTCTCTTCGTCGCCCCGCCCACTCGCGAGAAGCAACGGTGGCTGCACATGGACAAAATTCCTCCGCCGAAACAGAAGCAGCCAGGACTCTGTGAGTGACGTCACGCGCCCACAGAATGGCAAGGCGGCCGGTTCGAATCCCGGCAGCGGCGGAAATGACGAAACAAACCAAAACAAAACACCACCACCCCAGAAAAACATAGGTTCGAATCCCAGCAGCGGCGGAAATGAAACCCTCCTTAATGACAACCATAAGAAACAGCAGCAGAATATAAAAATATGGCTAAAAATATAAAATATTAATATTATATTGAAGTATATACTCTGCTTTATCTCGCCAAAAGGGGCTCAATCATTAATTCATTGATTAATTAATTAATATTGTTATTAATTATTATTCCTAATTAATATTAGGAATAATAATTAATAACAATATTAATTAATCAATGAATTAATGATCAGCCCTAGCTTCTGCCAACCTAGCAGTTCGAAAACATGCAAATGTGAGTAGATCAATAGGTACCGCTCTGGCGGGAAGGTAATGGTGCTCCATGCAGTCATGCCGGCCACATGACCTTGGAGGTGTCTATGGACAATGCTGGCTCTTCGGCTTAGAAATGGAGATGAGCACCACACCCCAGAGTCAGACATCACTGGACTTAATGTTAGGGGACAACCTTTACCTTTAATTAATAATATTAGGTTTCTTAAAAGTGGGGTGTGTATGGAATATATGGAATGATGTCCAGGGTGGGAGAAAGAACTCTTGTCTGTTTGACAACGAATGTTGTCTGACTGGAGACAATCAGGGCCAGCTAACACCTCCCAAAAAAGGATCCCCCCACGCAGGAAGCAGCCAGGCTTTGAAGCTGCAAGGCCATTCAATGCTAATCAGGCTGGCCAATGGAGCCCCCGGTGGCGCAGTGGGTTAAACCCCTGTGCCGTCAGGACTGAAGACCGACAGGTCGCAGGTTCGAATCCGGGGAGAGGCGGATGAGCTCCCTCTATCAGCTCCAGCTCCTCATGCAGGGACATGAGAGAAGCCTCCCACAAGGATGATAAAAACATCAAATCACCGGGCGTCCCCTGGGCAACGTCCTTGCAGACGGCCAATTCTCTCACTGACACAACAACAAAAAAAGGCTGGCCAATGGGAACATTCATTGTCAAACAGACAAAGAGTTCTTTCTCCCACCCTGGACATCATTCCACGTATACAGAAAACCTCACTTGTCTAGTTTCCAGTAGATCTTACAGACTAAGGATGTCTGCCATAGATGCAGGCGAAAGGTCAGGAGCAAATGCTTCTGGAACATGGCCAGGCAGCCCAGAAAACACACAGCAACATAGTGATTCCGGTCATGAAAGTGTTCAACAACAAATTAATATAATTAATTATATTTAATAATATATGGTGATCGGCACACTGGATGCAGTGCCTCAAGACCCTGGCCTGCACTTAAACACAATCGGCGCTGACAAAATTACCATCTGCTGATAACATCACACAGTCTTAGAGACTTGGAAAGGGTCCGACGTGTGATCCAATACAACAACCAGCAGAGTGATCTTGTTGTGTTTCAAATTATTATAATAAAAATAATAATAATAATAGTAATAGTAATAATAATAATAAAATTATTATTACTGTCTCATTTTATAATAATAATAATAATAATGGGTTGTTGGTTTTTTCAGCCTATATGGCCATGGTCTAGAGGCATTCTCTCCTGACGTTTCGCCTGCATCTATGGCAAGCATCCTCAGAGGTTGTGAGGTCTGTTGGAACTAGGAAAAAAGGATTTATATATCTGTGGAATGACCAGGGTGGGACAAAGGACTCTTGTCTGCTGGAGCTAGGTGTGAATGTTTCAACTGACCACCTTGTTTTCAACTGACCACCTAGGCCTGACAGTGCCTAGAGCAAACTTTTGTTGAGAGGTGATTAGATTTCCTTGTTTGTTTCCTCTCTCTTGTTGTGCTGTTGTAATTTTAGAGTTTTTTTTAATACTAGTAGCCAGATTTTCTTCATTTTCATGGTTTCCTCCTTTCTGTTGAAATTGTCCACATGCTTGTGCATTTCAATGGTTTCTCTATGTAGCCTGACATGGTGGTTGTGAGAGTGGTCCAGCATTTCTGTGTTCACACCTAGCTCCAGCAGACAAGAGTCCTTTGTCCCACCCTGGTCATTCCACAGATATATAAACCCTTTTTTCCTAGTTCCAACAGACCTCACTACCTCTGAGGATGCTTGCCATAGATGCAGGCAAAATGTCAGGAGAGAATGCCTCTAGAACATGGCTATACAGCCCGAAAAAACCTACAACAGCCCAGTGATTCCAGCCATGAAAGCCTTCGACAATACAATAATAATAATAATAATAATAATAATAATAATAATAATGAGTTGAAAGAGACCCAATAGGGCCATCTAGTCCAACCCGCTTCTGACACACACTCACACCCTCCCTGTGTTGTTTGCACCAATGTAATTGCATGGGATGACATGCAAAAATAATTAAATCACAAATCTATTTATCTATATAATAAAAAAACATTATTTCCATTGCCCGCTTCCTTGAAACATTGTACAGGTGGAAGTTTAATCATAACAAACAAATAAACAAACAAATAAAAGCACCTTTAAAGGGGGAGGGGTGTTGTCCTGATGCCTTCCTTTTCTTTAATATATATCTATATATATTCTGGAAGGAAGTCTCAAGAGGGAAAGGGAGAGGGTTTGGGCCTTGCCTTTTCCGAGTCCAGTCTTGAGAAATGCACAGCAAAGGAAGTGCAAAAAAAGGAAGAGGAAAAGGAAGTGTTTGGAAGTCTTCTACATGGAGATACACACATACAGGGGGAGAAGGGAGACAACAAGGCCTTCACAGCCAGCACTTTGGACTACAACTCCCAACATTCCTAGCAGCCTAATCTAGGTTCTGTTGGCAGTCAAACAAGTAGAGTGTATATATACTTGTGGAATAATGTCCAGGGTGGGAGGAAAAAGTCTGTTTCATGCAAGAGTGAATGTTGCTATTTGCATGAATAGCATAAAGTTTGCAAAGTCAATCCACGAGGGTATCTGCATAGAGGTAGCCTGGCTGTTGTTGCCAGGAGGCATCCTCTGTTTGGTGAAATGCTGATTGGCACTTGATTCTCTGCATACTATGCTTGCTATCTGGAGTTCTCCTATTTTATTCTTTACTGTCTTGATTCCAGTGTTTTTTTCTTCTTTAAATACTTTTATGGTTACCAGCATTTGTAAAAAATATATTTACAAATATTTTCCGGAATATTTCTGCACATATGTTTATTACAAATACATTTTGCAAATATTTTCCTGTGAAAATATTTACAGTTATTGTTTGTGAATATTTCTGTTAATATTGTTTCTGAATAACTTTTCTAAATATTTCTTTATATATTTTTTCTGAATATTTTCACAAATATGTTTTGCGAATATTTTCCTGTGAAAATATTTAGATATTGTTCGTGAATGTTTCTGAATATTTCTCTGAATATTTTTAAATATTTTTTTCTGAATATTTTCACAAATATATTTTGTGAATATTTTCCTGTGAAAATATTTAAGACATTGTTTGTGAATATGTTTCTGAAAACTTTTCTGAATATTTCTTTATATATATTTTTTCTGAATATTTTCACAAATACGTTTTGTGAATATTTTCCAGTGAAAATATTTAGATATTGTTTGTGAATGTTTCTGAATATTTCTCTGAATATTTTTAAATATTTTTTTCTGAATATTTTCACAAATATATTTTGTGAATATTTTCCTGTGAAAATATTTAGATATTGTTTGTGAATATGTTTCTGAATATTTTAATATATTTTTTCTGAATATTTCACAAATATGTTTAGTGAATATTTTTTGTCAATATTTCCCAGCAAAAATATTTCCGGATATTGTTTGTGAATATTATTACAAATATGTTCAGCGAATATATTTTGTCCATGTTTTCCAGCGAAAATATTTCTGGATATTGTTTGTGAATATTTTTATGATTTTTAATGAGTATTTTTGCAAATATTTCCATTTCTAAAGTATTTTTTTAACATATTGGTAACCATGAAAATTAACAGAACCTGGTTACCAGTATTTTTAAAAAATCACCAGAATCAAGACAGTAAAATATTTCTGCATATATTCGTCAGTATGTTTATAGATATTTTCCTGTGAATGTTTTTTTAAAATATTTCTGCATATATTTTTTGCAAATATTTTTTCTGCAAAATGTGTATAAATATTCGCAAAAATATTTGTTAAAAAATCATTAAAATAGTCACAAATAATATCCATAAATACTTTCACAGAAAAATATTCACAACAATAGTTGTTACAATACATGTACAAATATTCACAAAAATATTCACGGGAAAAAAACCCACAAATATATTCATAAATATTTTTTTCAGATTATTTATTTATTTATTATTCCCCAAATATTTTTCCTGCGAAATATGTATAAATACTTGCAAAAATATTTGTTAAAAATTGGTTAAAATATTCACAAATAATATCCATATACACTTTCACAGAAAAAAAATATTTGTTAAAGTATTAGTTAAAATACATCCAGAAATATTCACAAAAAATATTCAGGAAAATATTCATAAACATATTCACAAATATATTCATCAATATTTTTGCAGATTATTTACTTATTTATTATTCTGCAGATAGCAAAACAATCAAGTGCCACGTCTCAGACGGAGGATGCCTCCAGGCAACAACAGCCAGGCTACCTCTATGCAGATACCCTCCCTGACTGACTTTGCAAACTTCATGGCTACTCAATGCTATTCAAGGGTTCTTTCTCCCACCCTGGATATTATCATATATACCAGTAATATACTCTCCACTTGCCTCAATTCCAAGACGCCATTAGCCACAGATGCAGGCCAAATGTCAGGAGAGAATGCTGCCGGAGCAAAGCCATATAGCCTACTAGCTGTTAGGGATGGTGGGAGTTGTGTCCAAAACACCCCATAAAGGGAGCCTGGGGATGGGTCAGGAGTCGGCCTCGGAGCCGGAGCTGCTCTCCTCCCGGCTGATCTCGATCTGCAGTGAAGGCAGGTGGTCCAGGCGGCTCTTCTGCTGCTGCTGCTGCTGCTGTTGTTGCTGCTGCCGCGAGTGCGCCTTCCCCTGGATCAGGGCCCCCCAGGCCCGCTGCAGCGCCGAGTCTTCTTCCTCCGGGGAAGCCAAGCAGGCCGATGAGGATGAGGAGGGCGGGGGGACCTTCTTCTCGTGCTGCTCCAAGGGCAGCGGGGCCTTCTTCTTCTCCGGGGCCTTCGGGGCGGAGCCCAGCCTCGCCCACAGCGCACCTGTGCCGAAGGAGGAGAACCAAAGGTGATAGTCATGGATAATGGATGGCCCTTGGGGGTCCCTTCCAACTCTATAATAATAATAATAATAATAATAATAATAATAATAATAATATAATAAAAATTCTATTACATGGACTGGATGGCCTTTGGATGTCCCTTCCAACACTAGGAGTCTAACAGTAATAATAATAATAATAATAGATAATATTATCTCCCTGTCTGGAATGGGGTCAGAATGGATGGCCTTTGGAGGTCCCTTCCAACACTAGGAGTCTAACAGTAATAATAATAATAATAATAATAATAATAATAATAATAATAAGTAATGCTATTATATAGACTGAATGGCCCTTGGGAGTCTAACTGGAATAATAATAATAATAATAATAGATAGATAGATATTATCTGCCTACCTAGAAAGGGGTTAGAATGGATGGCCTTTAGGGATCCCTTTCAACTCTAGGAGTCCAATAATAATAACAATAATAATAATAACAACAATATAATTATGTAATAGTAATTCTATTATATGGACTGAATGGCCCTTGGGATCCCTTCCAACTCTAGGAGTCAAGCAGTAGTAGTAATAGTCATAATAATAATAATAATAATAATAATAATAATAATAATAATAATAGAAGATAATATTATCTCCCTGTCTGGAATGGGGTCAGAATGGATGGCCCTTAGGGTTCCTTCAATTATATGGACTGAATGGCCCTTAGGGTTCCTTCCAACACTACGAGTCTAACAACAACAACAACAACAACAACAACAGATAGATAGATAATATTATCTCCCTACCTGGAAGGGGGTGAGAATGGATGGCCTTTGGGGATCCCTTCCAAATCTAGGAGTCTAATAATAATAATAATAATAATAATAATAATAATAATAATAATAATACATAGATAATAATATAATAGTAATTCTATTCTAGGGACTGGATGGCCACTTGGGGTTTCTTCCAACTCTAGAAGTCTAATAATAGTAGTAGCAGCAGCAATAATAATAATAATAATAATAATAATAATAACAACGACAACAACAACAATTCTTTTATATAGACTGGATGGCCTTTGGGGGTTCCTTCCAACTCTAGGAGTCTAATAGTAATAGTAGTAGTAGTAGTAGTAGTAATAATAATAATAATAATAATAATATCTTTGTGCCTGGCAGGATGGGATTTGACTGGATGGCCTTTGGAGGCCCCTTCTGACCCTAGGAGTCTAATAATATGAATGGTGATACTAGTAATAATGGCTGCACTGACCGGCCTTCTTCTTCTTCTTCTCCCCCCTCTCCCGGTCCCTCTCCCTGTCCTGGGGGTCTTGCTTCACGATGCCCAGCCGGCTGTGGACGTCTGAGAGAGGCTCGCGGAGGAGGAGGGGCGGCGTGGTGGGCAGCGGGGGGGTTTCCGGGGAATGCGGCCGCTTGCCCAGCCGCTGGCGCACGTCTGGAGGGCAAAAAGCATACATTAAAGCACATGTGCCTGCCATTCTAATAGAATTGTGTTTCAAATTGCATATCTATTGTGTTTCAAATTGCTTATCAAATTGCCTGAGAACTGAAGAAATTACCTCTCAGTCAGTCTATTTCTTTCTATCTCTATCTATCAATATTTCTTTCTGCCTATGTATCTTAGTCTATTACCCCTCTTTGTCTGTATCTATATTGTTATCTATCAATCTACCTGTATATCACTCTATATACCTCTATCTCTCGCTCGCTATCTATATCTATCAATCTATTTACCTATATCTCTATCATATCTCAATTTATCTTTATTTATCAATCTATTTACCTCTCTCTACATATCTATATATCTATTTACCTATATGTCTATTTACCTATATATCTATGTCTTTATATTTACCTATATATATACATACCTATATCTATATCTCTATATATCTATTTACCTATATCTCTATGTTGTTGTTGTTCATTCGTTCAGTCGTCTCCGACTCTTCGTGACCTCATGGACCAGCCCACGCCAGAGCTCCCTGTCGGCCATTACCACCCCCAGCTCCCTCAAGGTCAGTCCAGTCACTTCAAGGATGCCATCCATCCATCTTGCCCTTGGTCGGCCCCTCTTCCTTTTGCCTTCCACTTTCCCCAGCATCATTGTCTTCTCTAGGCTTTCCTGTCTCCTCATGATGTGACCAAAGGACTTCAACTTTGTCTCTAGTATCCTTCCCTCCAATGAGCAGCCGGGCTTTATTTCCTGGAGGATGGACTGGTTGGATCTTCTCGCAGTCCAAGGCACTCTCAGCACTTTCCTCCAACACCACAGCTCAAAAGCATCGATCTTCCTTCGCTCTATATATATATCTATATATCTATATATATGTATATCTACCTATATATATATATATTTACCTATATCTATATATCAATTTACCCATATCTGTCTATATATTTACCTATATCTATATCTCTATATATCCATTTATCTATATCTATGTCTATATATCTATTTACCTATATCTATATCTCTATATATCTATTTACCTATATATCTATATATTTACCTATATCTCTATCATATCTCTATTTATCTCTTTTTATTTATCAATCTATTCACCTCTCTCTACATAACTATATATCTATTTACCTATATGTCTATTTACCTATATATCTGTCTATATATCTATTTACCTATATATATACACACACACACACATATATCTATATATATTTATTTACCTATATCTCTATATATCTATTTACCTATATCTACATCTCTATATATCTATTTACCTATATCTCTATATATCTATCTATTTACCTATCTCTATATCTCTATATATCTATTTAACTATATCTATATGTCTATATATGTATTTACCTATATCTGTATCTATATCTCTATCTATATCTATCAATCAATTTACCTATATCTATATATCAATCAATATTTCTCTTTCCCTATCTGTAGCAATCTATTTACCTTTATATCTATCTATCTATCTATCTATCTATCTATCTATCTATCTACCTATATCTGTATCTATATGTCTGTCTATATCTATCAATCTATTTACCTATTTACCATTGTCATCATCCCCAGAAGAGGCCCCTCTCACCTGACTTGGGGGCGCTGGTGGGCGGGGCCAGAGGGAGGCGTAACCCGGCCCCACCCTGCCGCTTCTCCTCCAGCAGCAGCCGCACATCCGTCACTTTCTTCTCCGGAGGCCCTTTGTTCCCGATCCGGGTTTTGATGTTGCCGGAAGACATGCTGTCTGCCCTCATGGAGTTCCTACGACGGGAAGGAGAAGAAGCCCAGATATTAATAATAATAATAATATCTTCCTGTGCCTCCTCCTGATGATTTTGAGCTGGGACACTACCTAATAATAATAATAATAATAATAACAACAACAACAACAATAATAAATTAATTTTATTAATACTTCTCTATGCTCTTGAGCTGGGACTCAACCTTGTCACATTAATAATAATAGTAATACTAATGATAATTATAAATCTTCCTATAATAATAACATTATTATTATTATTATTATTATTATAGTATAATAATATAGTAAGATAACTAATCACATGCTCTTGAGCTGGGACTCCATCTTGTCATAATAATAATAATRTCGATAATAATAATAATATCGATAATGATATAATTAATAATAATAATAATAATAATATAGTAAGATGACTAACAGTATGCCCTTCAGCTGGGACTCCATGTCATAATAATAACAGTAATAATAACAGTAATACTAATAATGATAACTCTTCCAATAATAATAATAATAATAATAATAATGTAATAATAATAGTAATAATAATAATAATAATAATAATATAGTAAGATGACTAACCACATGCTCTTGAGCTGGGACTCCACCTTGTCATAATAATAATACTAGTATCAATAATGATGTAATTAATAATAATAATAATAATAATAATAATATAGTAAGACAACTAACAGTATGCCCTTGAGCTAGGACTCCACCTTGTCATAATAATAATAGTATTACTAATAATGATAATGATACAACTTCCAATAATAATAATAATAATAATAATAATAATGAAAGACGACTAACCACATGCTCTTGAGCTGGGACTCGACGTTGTCATAATAATAATAATGATAAATCTTCCAATAATAATAATAATAATAATAATAATAATATAGCAAGATGACTAAGCACATGCTCTAGAGCTGGGACTCGATCTTATAATAATAATAATAATAATAATAATAATAATAATAATAATAATACTAGTATCGATGATATAATAATAATAATAATAATAATAATAATAATAATAATAATAATAATAATAATGTAAGACAACTAACAGTATGCCCTTGAGCTGGGACTCAACCTTGTCATAATAATAATAATAATAATAATAATAATGTAAGAATAATAATATTGATAATAGTAAATTTTCCAATTATAACAATAATAATGTAATAATAATAATATTATAGTAAGACAACTAACCACATGGTCTTGAGCTGGAACTCCACCTTGTCATAATAATAATAATAATAATAATGGTAATAGTAATCATGATGATAAATCTCCCTATAATAATAATAATAATAATAATAATAATAATATAGTAAGACAACTAACCGTATGCTCTTGAGCTGGGACTCAACCTCGTCGGCGTACATGGTCATCTTGAGGCTCTTCTTGGGGGAGGGCGTGGAGATCATCTTCAGCTCCAGGTCGTAGTCCATCTCGTCCGAGTCGGAGCCGGAAGAAGAGGAGGATGAAGAGGACGCGGTGGCAATGGTGGCCGAGGGCCGTCGGGGGACACCGCTCCGCTCTCGCGCTCGCCGGAACGCCTGCAGCTCGTCCCGGTACTCCACCACCACACGGCCCCCGCCCCCTCCTTCCTCCTCCTCCATGTCCTGCTCGTCTTCCTCCTCTTCCTCCTCCTCTTCGGGAACGTTGACCAAGCCTTGTGGGAAGGGATAAAGGTCAGTCAGGGATAAAGGGCTTCAGCCAACTGAAGGCCCCGTTGGGATGACCAAAGGCCAATTATTACCAGAGCGATGATGCTTGTAAGGCGGCGTCCGGCCCACGTCTTCATCCCCCAGCAGCGCTCGCTTCTTGACCACGTCTCGGTGCAGACGGCGCGAGTGGTAGCGCCGCTTCCTGCAAAGGAGGAGGAACACTAGGTGATGGGATTTGTAGTCCACCCATATTGAGAGAACAATGTGATTCACCACCAATGATGCATTATTATTATTATTATTATTATTATTATTATTATTATTATTATTATAATATATTGGTCCCGTTCTCAAAATCCCGAAAGCCAACCATGGATGTAATTCTTAGCTCAATCCCATTGCAGGACATGGAAGCGCTCACCATGAGTTGCTGAGGATGCCTTTCATGCCCCCGTAATTGGGGTTGCCGTACTTCATGTAATACTGGCTCCTCCGGGCCGCCCCCAGCTCCTTCTTGTCATCTGCGGAGGGAAAGCAAAGTCAGAAGGGACCCCCAAAGGCCATTCAGTCCAGCCCCCTTCTGCCAAGCAGGAGGATTATATTATTATGCATTTATTGTATGTCAGCCTGTGATTGTGTCTAATTATCAGGGTAATCTGGATGATAGGAGTGACAATGAGGTGCATGTATCTAATGAATAATAATAATAATAGCAATAATAATTGTCTATTATTATATTATTATATTATATGTGTGTGTGTTCATTTGTGAGATTAACATAACGCAAAACACTACTGAACGAATTGACACCAGATTTGGACACAATACACCTATTAGGCCAATGAGTGACCATCACATATCCAGTCCATATAATAGAATTACATCATCATCATCATCATCATCATTATATTATTTTATTGGACTCCTGGAGTTGGAAGGGACCCCCAAAGA